GGGGGGGGGGGGGGGGGGGGGGGGGGGGGGGGGGGGGGGGTGAGGAGGAAAATGGAGGCCCGGTGCCTGCACTCTTCCTTGTTGTTGTTTTTTATGCTTTTCCCTCGTATCCCTTGTTTGGTGAACCACCGATGACACCCCCCTTGTTGAAACAAGATACTTTCTTTTTCTCCTCCTTGTTGTCGCTCTTTTCTTTGTTTTCCTCGTGTTTTCCTTGTTCGGCGAACCTCCGTGACGCTTGACCGCCACACAGGTGGATTCGAGCTCCTCGGCCGGCTCGGCGACATCCGGGGCAGGGTTAACGACAGCGGGAGTAGCAGGCGCGGCGGCGGCAGGGGGAGGGCCACCATCAGGAGGCAAGGCGGGATCGGGCGCTTCCGCGGGCGGCGGCGGTCGAGCAGGAGGAGGAGGGGGCGCCGGGACGGGGGGGGCGGGGGCAGGGGGGGGGGAGTTTTTTTGCTGGGCGTCGGTGGCCGTTGCAATAGGAGTCTGCGGGGCCGCCTACGTATTAGTGACGGTAGAGTGAAGTTGGTTTCTTGTTTTATTTGTCGGCGGCGGCGGCGGCGGCGGCGGCGGCGGCGGCGGTGGGTTTCATACGGGGATGAATGATCGTGAAGAGATGGGACTGTCAGAATGTGAACACCGGGGTACACATGCGTGGGGGATCTTTGCCTGTTCTGGTTCCCGCGCCGTTGGCAGGAGTGTCAGCCGTGGGGAACATAGTTTGTGTGCAGCGGGTTTGGTTTCCCACCGGCTCCTGATTTTTTATTGTTTGGCTTATGTGTGTTAGGGATCGCCGTGCGGGTGGCTGTCTGTGTATGCCGCCGCCGGGGGATTGTGGTGATGTTGCTCCGAGGGAATCAGGGGAAGGCTTACCCGGGGCAAAGATACGAACCACTTACTGGACCTGGGGACCGGCGGGTACAAGGGTGGGCCCAGAGCACAATCTGTGGGGTATGCGGCGCTGCAGCACCGGGAAGGTTAGGAATCGTGCGGGAATATGATTCGCGCCGGGTGTAATCTAAGGAGGTGGTCGTAGACGTCATTCGTTGCGGACATACGGCGTGACGGAAGAGACGAGGAAGGGCCATTTTTTTTGTTTGTGTTGCTGCATAATACGTGTACGCTGCTCGGGTTGTACTACACGAAACTCGGCTGGGCCCGGAGTGGTTCGGCTTGCCGCGGGGATACCTCGCACATTTTTGCGAAATCTACGTATCAAAACCAGGGTTCACTTGGGGCGATTTTCATTAGAGATTGCTGTAGTATGTTGATACATTTCGGCGTGCATGGTCAAACCGGGGAATGGCATCAACACGCTTATCGCATTGCGTTTGTGATGCGCTTGACGGCGATCGGGCTGTTTCTGCTGCCCAGAAGAACCCTCAATAAATGATTCTAGGAGATGGCATGACTTCAGTCACACGGAACACCTTCATGAGCGTCGGCAGAGCTGAGAACAAAGTGTTGATGTAGCCCTTTTGGCACGCCGAATACATGTGTGACGAATCGCCATCGTCATCAGCAACAAAACCAGCCGGAGCCCTTCGCATCTGAAACCAAGCGATGATGGCAAACGAGAAGGGAATGATGCAGCCTAGACGCCGGCACTTCAACTTTCGTTTTCGAAGTCGGTAGAGCGCAACGCAACTCCAGCACGACGACGACCGCGCTCTCGAGGTGAAAAGTGTCTCAATTGGGATGAACGTGATATGCCTTTTCCGACATCGATAGTGTGTGTAGTAGAGTAATGCTGCTGCTGTGCGTTCACTTGTTTGTTTGAGAGAAAGATGGGAAGTTGTTTGGAAGGCCATTACATCCAAGAAACGGGGCTCTCAGTAGTAAAACATGTTTGTCTTGGTCTGGCGTGGTGGGTGACATGTGATGTCTGCCTACAGGGTGTGGGTGTGTGCAACTGTCGCATCGTCTATTCTGAAGCTGAATGCTTCAGTCTCTCCGACCAAAATTCATTTTGGTCGCAGACCGACCCTCATGTTCCGATTCGCCCACCCTTGCCCGACATTGCTTCAAAAGCCATGGCGCGCACGGCTCGCGACATCTCGAGTGTGCCTCGATAGGGCATTCCCAATCTTGACCAGTCGCCAGGTTTGATCGACTTCCGGGCGTGCAGTAGCGTACTTCACAAGTGCCCGGCCATGTGCCACCATGAGCTTTGTTTATCGGTCGCCTTCGCTGGTTGACCTCTCTCGTCTGCACTGGTTGACTCGCTTGTCCTCATCCCTCTTTTTTGGAAGGTTTGAATCTCATGGTAAGCATCTGGGGCAGAAATCATTGTCCACCAACGGCGGACGTTTCGCGATATCTGGAGTACCATTAATGACGCCTGGGCCGATTTTCAAATCTCGATTTCTCGACAGCAGAAAGAGTCACAGCGCGGAAAACGGTGGAGTTGAAGCTGTCTCATCTAGAGCTTCCGAAATGTATTGTTTCATTTCTGCATCCTCTCGCTGTTGCATAATCAAGCTTTGAAAATTGGTCCAGGGGGTGTGTTGTCTTGTGTCATATACGGTATGCCTCGATTGGGCATATCGCGAGCCATGTCCCTCCGCCAAAGTTAATCTTCGTCAGCCTGCAGCAATAGACACAACAATTGTGCGACCAGGCATTCTCTCGTCTTTCCCTCTTCGCCGTCTTCTTGTCGCTCTTCTTTCGATCTCTAGGACTTCTCGAAAAAATGAATCTCTCACCTTCCACAAAATCTCCTGTTACGAATATTTTCGAAACAGAGACGGAAAATGATAATGAGTATCGAGTCGGTCGGTGGAGCATTCCTGCCCCCTTGCTCAATGAGCCCCAATTCCCCGATAGACTGAAAAATGGTTCTTGAGACAGGAATTTCCCTTTTCCTTTTCTTTTGTGCAAACATTTTGGACAAAGGGAGTCTCGGGTTGACGGGGCTTCCCAACCCCTTCGGTCAATGAATTCGGAGAGACGAATTTCCCTTCTACCCCGCCGGGCATCTAAGAAATGGATCTGAAACCTCATGCATCGTAGATATGGATCACTTCTTCACCAATCAATCGATTTCTCCTTGAAACAAATTGTGATATGAATCACACATCTCACCTCCCCTAGTTTTACACAGAAAACGTATATATTTCGGGAAACGGAATCGCAGATCTCAGAGGATTAGAGGTATGATTGTTCCATAATTCCACGTGCTGCATCGCCGGTTGCCTTGAGCACTACACGTCAGAGAGACGTCCTGCCACACACTTACCCCGCCGCAGAGTTGGTGCCGCGGGTCATCTTGATGGAGCCTCCACTGCTGTAAGATGTGCCACACATACTGTCAATTTCGGTTTCGCGCTTTGTGAACAAGCAATCCCTTTGGCGCACTTCACAGGAGTAGCTATGGGTCCACTGCCATACACAGCTGAACACCCCACGGCAAAAAAATCGGGGCCTTATTGACCAGTCTCGATTTCGCGCATTGTGAACACGCGCCCCTTTGTGGCGGCGGAAACATGCACAACAAGCGCTTTTGCCAGAGTATACATTTTGGGCCAAAAGCATGCAGTCGCGTCTTTCGGCACCCCTTCTGACGCCGGAAAAGTACGCAGCCCTTTTGAAAGCGTGCCATTCTCGGGTCACAAGCATGCAGCGCGTCTCTACGTCATGATCGCGTCCGACGAATCTGTCCATTTGCATCTTTACACCGCCTCATGAGCGATACCGGGGTATCAGCACACCAGGACGATCTACTTATTTCTGAAACTCCCCTTCTCCAAAGGTCCTGAAAAAGACCATGGCGTCTCGGCTCCTATTCTTCTTCGAGAAATATGTCGGGAAGAGCTGCAGTAGCGCCGGCGGTACAGCCTGTGCGCCGTGGTGCAAATGTTGGCGACGTCGAAAAGGGATCCGAAATAGATGGATGAAGGCAGCCATATTTTTTTGAATCACCACGAAAAAAAAACTTGTTTGCAGCAACACAACATCCAAAAGGAACTGCCCGCGCTCGCAACCTTTCTTTCCTTGCACGTGGTCGAATATGTAATGCGCGGCTAGCGTACAATGCAGAGCTACTTATGGCGCAGTAACGATAGGAAGAGCTGCAGTACCGCCGGCGGTAGAGCCTTTGCGCCGTGACACAAATGTAGGCGATGACGAAAGAAACGCCGAAGTTGCTGGATGATGGCAGAGGCACATTTTTTTATTCAACACGAAAAAAAAAGTTGATTTGACACAACACACCACTCCCTTCTTCCCCTCGCTCCTCGACAAGCTTTTGCTTAGACATGGGTTGTAGTCAGCTGGTGCGTGGGCGTAGCGGCGTTCTCGCTGTCCTGTATCACACGCATTGAATTGGGCTCGCTACTCCTTCCTGGGAACGTGAAGCCGACCTCGAGCAATCCCGTCGACACATCCTTTTGTATTGGTCTCGGGAAATTAGCCAAAGCAAGCAGGGTAACCGCGCTTACCGCAACACTCGGAC